TTTCAGAAAATGTTTAATATATGTACCCTTAGCGGTAGATAGGATTATTACAGCACGAAAAGTAGCGGCAGTTTTAAAAACCGCACGAACTTTCTTGGTTGCCTGATAATTTAAAATAAAGTTGCCAGCCTTGGTCGATCTAGATCCGAGTTTTTTTTTGTCTTTTATCACTGGCGATATAACATTTCCAATTTTGACTCTTATAAAAGTTAAGACGCCCGTCACGGATTGAGAGAGGTCCCAGGTTCGAATCCTGGCTGGGGTAATATTTTTCGCAATAAGAATTTTAATTCAATAGGGGAAAGGGTAAATATATAATGCTAAGTATAGCATTAAAATTAAATTAAAATAATTTGAAAAAAAACGCTCTGCGATTTTTAGAACACGTGAATTCACTGACGATAATGATCCCACCTAGGGGAAATCTGTGTTATACGTCCGATAGTAACGGCGCGCAGTACAGGGTGAGATAATACGGTATATGATTCACATAGCAATATAATGGCCATCACCTTGCCAGGTCCTAAAAATATGGCGTTTAAGTTTCAATTTGATTTATATCAGAAAAGGACCGAGAAAATATTAATTGTATCTTATAAAAGTTCTTCAAAATGTCATGTCCTACGATTTTCAGAGTAAATTTTAAGAGAAAGTTCTCTCAAAGTACGTATACATACACAGTCATAGATAAAATTGTTAGGCACCCTCCTGATCATTACACTGCAAACCTAAGTGGGCTACTTTTATACACACAGATATATGTGTAATTTCGTAAGGCACTTTTTGCGCACTTCTTTCTGTTTAAAACCGCAACACGTGACTTCACAAACGAAATTCATACATTTGTCATTTACAAATAATCTTTTTAAATAGCAAGAAATGTAAAACGTGTTGTTTTACAATGTCAAATCATATGTTGCGACTTTAAACGGAAAGCAGCTTATAGAAAGCGCTTCGCCACATTCCACGTATACGTGTATAAAAGTAACATACTTAGATTTCCAACATATACTGGCATTATTAGATTCAGTACAGTACAACGACTAGGTGCCTAATAATTTTGTCAATAGCTGTATACGCTATGCTGAAAGATATAGACGTACTCTGCTGTAAAATCATTATGACACGAAACTTCTACGTAATGTGGCTCTCCATTATCTGTGCCATCTGTTCGCTTCACTAATTTATGAGGGTGCGGTATCCTGAGATCTTCGTCAACTGTGACCACTGTGCAACGTATTATCGCTTTATCCAGGAAATTGTGTAGCTGAAAGTACAAACGGCGTCGTTACGTACGAAGAGAAATCAGTTTGGACAATCCCATATTATCTTTTTCACAATACAGAAGTCAACACGTTTACCTTGACCGTGGGCACGTTACTTTTACATCGTTTACGTCCATTAAGTACACCCATCAGACTCCCGTGCGTTCCCGCCATTTCGGATCTGTACCTAAATCTGAACTTATCCATTGGCTGGACCACGATACTGATGTACGCCTCGCCAAGTACAGTCACTAATAAATTGAAAAGTCTCATTTACATTCCACTGTGTAAAACAATCATCGCTAACGTTAATATACAAGGACTTGATATTAAATAACTGAGACGGGAAACTTATAGTCGACCCAACTGGCTAGTTAATTTATCAGTTTATTACACTATGCAGGAAGGTTGCTTATAGTCACCAGGAATAAAAATTGTAACGGCAACTTGTAGTCAACCCAACACTGGCTAGTTTGCCTTATTCAATTAATACAACGTTTCGACCCTGTATTCTGGCTCCTTTTCGAGCAATACTGCAATATTGTACCTTGGCCGGGCAAGCTGCGTCTTAAACGAGATGACTCAAAATATATACCTGCGTTGGTCAGAGTAATATAATTATCCGTGACGTGCATGGGCGACGAGGATGTCGACATGGGTGACGTGGCGCTTATGTTTCCCTGGGATCCAGAACTGAAAGGACTCAGGACACCCGTGTTGTCCATTGGCGTCAAGTCTGAAAAATGCAAGACCCGTATGGCATCGAGCAATAATAATCTACAACTCATTTTAATGGCTTAGGGCCAGTTTCACAAACATCGTTTAACTGCTAACTCATGGTTAATTGATCCTCTGTCTCTTCTTGGATAACAAGATAGAGAAAGATAGGAAGTGGACTGAACTCTGGTTAACAGTTAACCGACGTTTGTGAAACTGGACCTTAATACAAGTACAAAACGTCCACTACAAATAAATCCACACGTTCCATACGTAATATTTTATACGTCTTAAAATAGAAATCACTTTGAAATTTCGTCTACGTTGTTAAATAAACAAAATGGAATTTTGTCAACCACAACTGGCGAGTTTATCAGTAAAATTTGGTACACCGATGCGAAAGAGAGAAACTGTATTCCAAGATGCTCAAATAGCCAATAGGCATTTACGACAATCGCTCCCAAATGTTAAACAAACGGACGCGCGATTGTTATTGTTTTATTGGCCTATCGCAAGCAACCGCCAGCTACGTCTTGAGATGTCAACGTGTCAAAACAAGCGGCCGTCACGACGTAGCTGTCAGTCGCCCGTCGCGACAGCGCGTTCTCCGGCGTGTTTCTTCGGACGAAACGTGCGCCTCGCGCGCGCACTTGCGTTACCGTTGAATTGGAAGTACGGGTCCTCGCTATCCGCGATTGCGCCGGCCGTTAATATGCTCCGCATTGCCATGTTAATGTTTTCGTACGCGTCCGGCATCTCAGACGGCCCCGACTCTCCTCGTCGTCGTCGTCTCGCGAGTCGGCGGAAACGCAGCCCGCGAAACGTCACCGAGTGCCACTGAGCACACCGAGACTCGTAGATCGACGGCCGTCGGGAAAACCAGACTCGACGGGGACTGGACTCGAAGACGAGAGGTCAGACCGCGCCGCGGTGTAACGCGGACCTTCTACTACTCACCAAACGCGCGTGATCGCGCTGCATTTAGTTCCTGTGTGCGTCAACGGTGTAACCTTGGACCATCGCCGCCGGTTCTTCCCCGGATAACGCGCGTCAGCCAATCGCGCGTCAACGCGGCGTGCACCGGACTTCCCGCGATCAGGGACGTGCCCGCGTCGGCGCGACACCCCTCCGGTCCACGTCCTCGAAAATTACGTTCGTGCCCGAGAATTGCGCTCGGAGGCTCGTCGACAGCTTAATGTTCACTTGAAACGCAACTTTTAATATATATTTTGCGTGCACTACCCTAGCGGAAAAAATTTCTATAAATAACTACAAAAAATTGACTTGAAATAGAATTTTGTAGAAATTTTTATATCTTCGTTGAAACATTTGTTTCTTTGTAAAAATATCTATAAAATAGTATCACAAATTACAATGTTCTCAAATCAAGAAATTATTGCAAGTAATATTTCATGAAAATGTACAATTTTGTAAAAATTAGTACAAAACTTTACTAGTTTTAAAAATTTGAGAAACAACGAAATCTTAAAAAATTAAAACGTCTGCTTACTTGTAGAATATTACAAAAATTAACAAAAGTGTTCCAATTCTAGCATTTTTATGTTGATTTTTATATAAACACTTTTTAAATTCACGTAGAATTTCTTAGATTCTGGCAGTTGTATTTAATTTTTTTGTAGAATTTTGTAGAATTATTTCCGGCAGGGTAAAATCTCGCGAAATACAAACGAATCGAGTAACAGTTCCAGAAAAAGGAATCGCGTACAAAGTGTTATTCGACACTCGCTAATAGAAGATTTACACGAAGATTGTAATTACAGTATTTATCGTCTCTTCTTTTCATTTTAGTCTTCCTCGCGGTACTTTGCATTTCCTATTTCTTACTTCCTGCTTTTCGTTCCGATTTCTGCGATATTCTGTTCTTGTCCTCGCAAAGACGTTCGCAAAAGTTGTCGATACTTCACATCGCCAAGTTTAAATTGCCGCGATTATTCACATTGATTGTTACGAGAAGATAGAGGACGATTAGTTAGAGTACTCGTGTGGAAAGCGAATAATTAAGTAGTTGCATCTTGATTCCTTTTACGAGTTCCTCATCTTTTCTTCGTGCTGTAAAACACATGTATAATAATACCAAAATAATTATGATTTATCTATCAATTAGCAAGATTCAATGTGCCAGAACAACTGATTCATATTGAAGAAGTAAAACTGTAAAAGTTTTATTAGGATACTTATTGATGAAGATGAAGAGTTTATAATTGAAGTAACGAGAGAGAAACGCAATCTTCTTGGTCGTGTACAGGCTGCTAACCTTGCCGACGTTAAACAAACTGAACTGGTGTATCAGATCAAGTGTGCCCAATATGATTCATCTAAAGCCCTGTGTCCACGATCCAAGAACTTTGTCCAAGTTCCAGTTTCGAGAAATGCGTAGCCAATCAGCTTGCAGCTATTCCATAAAAGCTGCATGTTGATTGGCTGCGCATTTCTCGAAACTAGAACTTGGGCACAGTTCTTGGATCGTGGACACAAGGCTTTAAAGGCGTGTGTCCACGATGCTAGAACTTGGTCCAAGTTCTATAATAGTTTCGAGAAATATGTAGCCAATCAACTTGCAGCTGTTCCATAAAAGCTACAAGTTGATTGGCTGTATATTTCTCGGAACTAAAACTTGGACCAAGTTCTGACATAGTCGACACAAGGCTATATATATGTTAGACAAACTAAGCGGCCTTTACGGAGTCTAATTAAGGAATATCAAAGAAATATTACATGCTCGACCGGCAACCGCTAGGTGATTACAGGCCATCACCTTACAAAGGATCATAATTTCAATTGGCTTGAGCCTTCAATTCTACATAGAGAAAAAATTTACGAAAAAGGGAGATGGCGGAGATGTTCTACATAAAGAGATTAAACGACACTCTAAATTTACAGAAATCGACTCATAGAATCCTACCGCGATATATGACGACCTAATAATAAGGAACACTTGGTACCTTATTTTATATTTTTCTCCCCCTTTTTATTTTATTTTATTCTATAATTTCGACGTTACTTCAATGATCTGTTCTTCTTGATGTCTTATTTGTTTCCCTCTTTTGTTTTCATTTTGTAATTTTGATTACATATTTGTTTTTATTTATTTATCGTTCGTATATTCACTGTGTCTTTCCGATGTAACGTCCTTAACCGTAGTCCTACTGGCGGTTGTGTTGGATGGACGTGTTTTTGAACAGTTTTTCCGACCGATATCCAGAGACGGATCACATCTTTTCGCAATTTAATTTTAACAAATCTATGTGTAAGTATGGCGTTGTAATTTGTTTCTTCTCTATGGTTGCATAGACGCTAAGTTTGTTCAAAATTGTAGATATTTCCTTGAAAACGACCGGTTGGTCGAAACGTTGGAATGATTTGTTAAATTAAACCACTTCAGTTTAAAGTCGTTAAATAATCTTTTTTTCCAGTTGTCAATCAATTACCGTGGACAATAATATTCCTCGTCATTTATCTATTTTCTTTAAAAACTCAATTATAATCAAATAATAAAGTATCGCTTGTGTTCTATTAAAAATAACGATGTGTAATTAAGGCCAAGTTCAACGAGCTTTGTTCAATAAGGTATTACAATTATTTTAATAAAGAGCCTGTGATTACATTTGTACTCTAGAATTGCGTCACGCAAAAACAAATGTAATCACAGACTCTTTATTAAAATAATTGTAATACCTTATTGAACAAAGCTCGTTGAACTTGGCCTTAATTACACGTCGTTATTTTTAATTATAATCAACATAAGTCATCAATATAATAATCTCGCGCTAAATTAATTTGGATTACTTTCTTACTCCAGGGAAAAGTTGTCCAGATTTCATCTGATTTTCGCAAAGCGGACTATTGTTGATTACTTCACTTTCAGTTCGTAATACATGTTTTACGAGATAACGGTGAATGTCTGATAGCGCCTTCGGTATGTTACATCTTGCAAAACTCGACCTTAGCACGCGTGGTGGGGAGACTGATAATGTGAATGTATATATATATCTCTCTAGACACGTTGGAACTGTCCGTGGGTGTTAAATTCCACTCGTTACACGACCACCGTACACGATTCACAGCAACGCTTTTCCCCTGCAGACGCTAGATCGGCCCGTACAATAACAATGTCAGCCAAGAATGAAAAGATCGGGATTATTGGAAGGTAAAATGATGAGTTGTAATTTAAATTGTAATTTTGTTCGCATAAAACCGCAGGCTGTAATAATTTTGCGCCACGGTTGATACGATTTTCATAGATAATAATTGATTACTCAACAATTAATCACGTGACAACTGTTTATCATGAGCAATTATTATTTTTTAGCAACGCCATGTATGTAAATCATTACCGATAAGTTTACAAGTGCCTTATGTCGGGTGGGTTTTCGAAAAATCGATTTTTCTATCGTAATTTTAATCGCCCGATCGTCTCTTAAATTATTACGAATTGTACTAAAAGGTTCCTTTAAAATAGTCTTATTTAAGCCGCCATTTCAGTAACGACCGAAGCAACTGATGCTACACAAATTGCAATTTATAAAAATTTACTTATTTATAAAACGTGAAGGGAAGGTAAGTAATGCTTTATGTAACTGTTAAAATCGACCTTCACAGTTGATAGAACTGTTAGCTTAGAAAGGAGACCTGTGGAATTTTTACAAATCGCGAGGTGTAGTGATTACAGTGACTCAATATCAATAAGAAAAACACTCAAGATACATTAACTAGCATTGTTATTCTCAATTTTAATTATCTATAGTCACAGGAAAGTCCCCTATTATGAGATAGCGGAGTTTCTGCCTGAAATTAATAGACATCATCTGTTGGTTCCATTGTGAATTTATTGCCCTTAGGGTGAAATCAGCTTAGATTTATCATTGAATTTGGACGTTGAAAACCTACTATCTCACACTAGAACCCTGTCTCATAATAGAGGACTTTCCTCTATTAACACTTTCCATAAAAGCAATAAACTATTTCACAGCATTAAACGTCCGACTTTTTATCATTCTATTAATGGATTATCACGTACATATTATGACGTTTTCCAAGCCGTCAAATCACGACATTCGAAAAGGCGACCGCAAGAGTCGTCTTAAGTTACAATTGCACTTTTCCGTAAGCTATATTCGTTTAAAGATAAGATAATGCACCGAATGGCGGCAAACAACATTTCTTATAGTGATATCTAACGAAATGACGCACTTGCTTTGATTCTTAAGATAAACGTCCATTTTATCAACGAAACAAAAACCATATCGCGCAAAATACAGGCTCGAAACTGAGTAAAAATTTCGTACCTTTATCATTTACCGGGATTACAAACGTTATTTTTGTCTTAGTCTTATCGTCTATTTCAGCGGCTTAATCGGACGCAGCTGGGCGATGCTCTTCACCAGCGTGGGGTACCAGGTGGTCATTTACGATATTGTCCAGGATCAAGTTAAGAGCGCACTGGAGGACATCCGTCAGCAGTTGAAACGTCTCGAGAGTGAAGGTCTTCTCCGTGGTACACTTACGGCGGATCAGCAATTTAATTTAATAAAGGGTTTGTTTACTAGCTCCTCCATTTTGCTACAACGATCATTCCCGTCTCTTAATGCAGAAACGATTAGGTAAAATGTAACATTTGCACATTAGAAAATAACATCCATTTTTCGTCGTTGACGTAGCGTTCGAGGTGGTTTTTCCAGTTTCATTCTTCATGTAATTTAATTAAGGATTTGGATCGCAGGATCATCCGATGTAGCGGAAGCTGTAAAGGGAGCGAAGCTGGTCCAAGAATGCGTGCCGGAAAATCTCCAGTTGAAGCTGAAACTCTACAGCGACCTCGACAAGATCGTCGACGACAAGGTGATCTTGTCATCTTCGACGTCCACGTTCCGTCCATCTCTTTTCAGCGAAAAGCTGAAACACCGTGAACAAATTATCGTCTCTCACCCCGTACGTATTTCCAAACTACTTATAACACGGCAAATGATTTACACCTTTGCTACAAATCCAGTTAGCAAATTAATATTTTTATATATGAAAATTCACACTTACCTTACATATCCGAGACATTCAAAATTACTGTAAGATTTGTAAGCTTTACATGCTGGTTTTATAGTTACAGATATGTCATTTCTGACGCAAGTGACAAATACTTCTTTTTTTAATAAAGGAAAGTCCCTTAAAATAAGCTTCTATGAGACAGCAGGGTGTTTGCTAAATTAATAGACATCATCTGTTGGTTTCATCGTTAATCTATTGCCCTTGGAGTGAAATTGGTCTAGTAGATAAATTATTGTCGGATCGTATACTCGTTGTAAATGAAGATTTGTGATTAAAGTTTGATGTTGAAAACCTGCTATCTCATAATAGAGAAATTCGATCTTACCAATTCTACACGAGACACTCTCCTCAAGAATTAAAAGGATCCGATAAAAGAGTATTTGTCAATCGCATTACAGTTACTTGTTACATTACTTCGAATTTATAAGATGACTTAAACCCAATGT